GTTTCTGTGGCTCAGTTGATACAGTTGCCATGGAAACATGCGAGGTATTTAAACGTAAAACATGATGACGAGGCTGAGCGGTGAATCGGCGCACCGCGTGCTCCGCTGCCGCGTGCAGTCGCGGGTTGGGGTTTGCGCTGTGGCGGTTGCGGCTGCGCAGCGAGCTGAACATCATGTTGCAGCCGTCGACAGTGCAGCGGTGCTTGATCTTCAGGTGCACCGCGTTAAAGTGGATCTTCAGCGTTCCTTTATCGTAGAACGTCTTGGCGCAGGCATCGCAGCTCACGCGACCTTTACTCAGAGACGAGCGCTCTTGTGTTCCTGAAGAATCTCCGCTTGGTGAATCTCCCTCCGCATGGCGTTTCGGAGGTTTCGTGGAGCATGCTAGCTGTGATGTTGATCTTCGGCTGTGCTTGCTCAGGCGCTGTAGTTTCTGATGCTCTGGAGCTGCTGAATGTGGACTGCTGTAGTGGAAGGGCTGCAGGAACGCCATGTTTTCTCCGGGGGGCAGATCCTCAAAGTGGTGCAGTGTGTCTCTGGGTCTGAAGCTGGCGCTGTGCTCTGCAGATCTGGGCTTTGTTTCAGGACTGATCTCCTCCATCATGAGCTCTACTATAGATTTAGTTTCTCCAAAACGTAGAAATTGCCGCAAAGTCACGACTTCATCGTCTGGGCTCATCGAGATCCAGCGGTCCAAAACCTTCCCCGTAGAGTCCTGAAGGAGGAGATTTACAGTGTGAAATCAAAATAAAGTGTTATTATTAGGGATGTAACGGTGTCAGAATTTCACGGTACGATAATACCTCGGTATGAATGGTACAGTACGGTATTTATTAAATAATTTACAGGAAAAACAAAACTAATGAAAAGACTTGAAAAAAGTGCCAAAAGTGTTTATTTAGCTTAGCACTGAACATATCAATGACACACAAATCAGCCGTCTATCTGTACGTTTCCAAACAGGAACTTCAATTTTTCAATTTTAATAATAAAAAACTATTAAACCATATAAAAAAATAAAGTTTCAATTTAGTATTGTTGAAAACTCATCACATTCAACATTTAATCACTCACTCACTTAGAGGAAAATGATCATATAACTATAATCTGGTGAAAGCTGGGATGTCTGGGCATGTCTCCTGCAACAGAAAAACCCCTCTCATTTGGGACTGAGGTTTCTGGGACAGAGAGATATGATCTAGCCAAGGTTGACAGCAGTGGGTAACGCTGTGCATTGTCTTTCCACCACTTGAGAGGACAAGCCATGAGTGAGATAGAGGTCTCTTTACGGTACAAGTCAATGTCTGCATCAATCTGAACAGTGTGCTGTGTTCTGCAGTCCCCATGACTGTTTTTAGTCGTATTCCCCGACTTAAATTTCACCACAGTCTGGCAGTGCCTGCATACTGTTTTTGTCTGAGAAACTGAAATGCTTCCACACATCTGATTTAAAACCCGCTTTAGGTTCCATCATTTCCAGCTCTTGTTCTTCCCCTCCACTAGCAGCACACTCCATTTCCGCATTACTAGATCTGTAGTGACAACAGACCGCAAAGGATGATGGCCACGCCTGGGCTGATGGGAATTGTAGTTCCCGCTACCTCCCGTTCGCTTCATTCGCCTGAGCAATCTTTTCTCAGAAATATAGTTTTGAGTCATGCACCTACGCTAATATTGATAAAAATTACTATTGCGGTATGACAGTATTAACAATATTGTTACATCCTTAGTTATTATCAAGGTTATAATAGTTTTGGACTTTTCATTAGTTTAGTTTCTATTTCGTTTTGACTTTTTAAATTAGTGTTAATGGCAGATTTACTAGCTTTTATTAGTTTCTATATTTTAAAATCATTTAGTTTTATTTTAGTTTTTATTAGTTTCAGTATTAGCTTTAGTTTTTTTCTAAATAAGCATATTTGTTAGATGCAAGATAAAAAAAAAATCAACAGAATAAATATTGTATAATAAAAACTCAGCCATACATACATGAAGTCAGAATTATTAGCCCTCCTGAATTGTTAGCACACCTTTTTATTTTTTTCCCTAATTTCTGTTTAACGGAAAGCAGATTTTCTCAGCACATTTCTAATCATAATAGTTTTAATAACTCATTTCTAATCACTGGATTGTTTTCTCTTTGTCATGATGACAGTAAATAATATTAGACTAGATATTCTACAAGACACTTCTATACAGCTTAAAGTCACATTTAAAGGCTTCACTAGGTTAATTATGTTAACTAGGCAGGTTAGGGTAATTAGGCAAGTCATTGTATAACGATGGTTTGTTCTGTAGACTATTGAGAAAAAAAAATAGCTTAAAGGGGCTAATAATATTGTCCCTAAAATGGCTTTTAAAAAAATTATAACTGCTTTGATTCTAGCCGAAATAAAACAAATAAGACTTTCTCCAGAAGAAAAAACGTTATCAGACATACTGTGAACATTTCCTTGCTCTGTTAAACATAATTTAGGGAATATTTAAAAAATAATAAAAAAATTCAAAAGGGGGCGAATAATTCTGACTTTAACTGCATGTTGAAACCTGTATTTAGAGGACACATGAACACTATCATCGGTCCCACTTTATATTAACTACTATGTACTTACAATAAAAAATAAATACAATGTGCTTACTGTGTTTATAATGTATTTGAGAACACTTGTGGTGCTTTTGAGTTGGGATAGAGGTTGGGTTATGGACAGGTTTGGTGGTGTGGGTAGGTTCAAGGGAGGGTTAAGATGTAAGGGATGGTCAACAGTGTATTTACAAATGTAATTACAAAGGTTAATTACAGATGTAATTAAATACATGTATTTAATCAAGCATAAGTACACAGTAAATACATGTATCTACACAATAAGTACATTATAACAAACTATTAACTCCTGTGTAAGTACATAATAGTTAAGGCCACTTAATATAAAGTGGGACCCTATCATCTACTACAACCATCTAGACATCCTCAAACTCAAATACAACAGCCCACAAGAAAGCAGCCCTAAGTACAATATGTGTGCACGGCTGCTCTGAGGTTAGACACACAGTAGTGATGGGAAGTTCAGATATTTAAGGTGGATGTTTGGACTCAACATACCAACATTATGTAGTCAGCAATAGTCATTTCAGTCAGTTTAAACATCAGCATGATCTGAAAAATGTCTAACAGTAAAGTTTTGCGACCCAACTGAAGCATGATTCACTTATTTAAACTCCATTACGATTGTCTGTTATGAAATAAACTTACGCTTTTCACCAGATCCTCTCATCATTTAAGCCCTTGGTTTACCCGCGGTGCTGTTCAAGTCTAGTTCGTTCACAGCAGGCTGTACTGTTTGTGTTTGGTTCACTGAATCACGCATGCACAGTATTATAGATTTAAATCTAATCTCAGTGTATCGTCACTGTTCTAATAACTGAATGAGAGTATATATTGGATTATTTTGAGTCAGAGGGGGGAATTAGGCTTGTTATAAAGTAAGTAGTTTGTGGATAAGGGCTTACAGGAGACGTGAATCATTTCAAATGATTCAGTTCGATTTGGTAAACTAGTTCAACTAGTTCACTTAGAAGATCCGGGTAAAAAGATTTGTTTGCAATCGCGATGCAGAAATAAAACCCATTATCGGGCACAAATGTGTTCAAGTAATAGTTTTAAGTGTCTGTATTTAATGCTGTCGCCGTGCTGCTGTTTTGTCTCGTTGTTTTTGTCGTGGGAGCAACAGCGAGGACTGACTGGAGGAGAAACGGTTTGATCTGGCTAATAGCAGCAGGACTACAGACTCTGAGGTGCTGAAAGGGACAAACAACTGCAGCGCGAATTAGATTTATCTCTAAACGGCTCACAGTAAGATTATGTATTAAACACATTTACAAAGACGAAAACGAAGGAGGTTTTTGCTATAATTTTAGTTTCAGTTAGTTTTGAATGTACACAATACAGTTTCAGCTAGTTCTAGTTTTTAACTCAACTCAAAAACGACAATTATTTACATTTTAGTTTTTTCGTTCATTTTTGTTAACTATAATAACCTTGGTGTGCTAGTGTCTCTGTAATCTAGTGTGCTACAAAACAGGGACGAAATGTATATGTAGGAGATATAAATCTGATAAGTTTGCAGTTTGTCTCATCCGCCTAAATGAATCAACAATTTCTTTGCCGTCTCCTCATACTTCAGTTTCTCCTCAAACCTTCTGACCAATCAAATGCTCTCTAGTGTCTGACATGCCCCACCCCCTTCTTCTCATTGGATGCGCTTGAGCTCAACCACTCTCACTGGCAGAGCTGGGAGAACCATAAACGCTATTGGCTGTTTTTGGTATAAGGCTCCCTCTACCCTACTGAAAAATCCAGCTTAAACCAGCCTAGGCTGGTTGGCTGGTTTTAGCTGGTCGACCAGGCTGGTTTTAGAGGGGTTTCCAGCCATTTCCAGCCTGGTCTTTGTTGGTCAGGCTTGGAGATGACCAGTTAAAACCAGCTTGACCAGCCTAGCCAAGCTGGGAGTCCCGCCAAAACCAGCTATGTCCAGCTTAAACCAGGCTGGTCAAGCTGGTTTTAGCTGGTCATTTTCCAGCCTGATCAGCTAAGACCAGGCTGGAAATGGCTGGAAACCAGCCTGGAAATGGCCAAAACCCCTCTAAAACCAGGCTGGTCGACCAGCAAAAACCAGCCAACCAGCCTAGGCTGGTTTAAGCTGGATTTTTCAGCAGGGTATTCATGTTTCAGTTGAGATTGTGTCAAACATCCAGAATAAAATGCACATTTCAAAGCACTTCACAGGTTCACCTTCTGAGCCTGTAATACTTTGGTCCATATTTAAATTGTGCATGTGTGTGTTTGAGTGTTTGTGCATACAGTTGAAGTCAGAATTATTCGCCCCCCTGTTTATTTTTTCCCCAATTTCTGTTTAACGGAGAGCAGATTTCCTCAACACATTTCTAATCCTAATAGTGTTAACTAAATAATAATTAGACTAGATATTCATGTTCATATGTATTTTGTGTGTGCATGTGTGTGTGTGTACAGTATATGTGCATTTATTTAAGTGTGTGTGTTTGTGCTTACATGCATGTGTGCATTTGTTTGTTTAGGTGTACATGCATGTGTTTTTGTGTATGTGTGTTTTGTTTGTGTGTGTGTGTGTGTGTACCTGCAGCATGTATCCTCTGACGTAGTCTCTGAGTGTCCAGCCGAGCGTGTGTATGATGTTGAGCACCTGTGTGTGTGTGAGGACGCTGAACAGTCGGTCCAGCAGGATCTTCATGCGCACGGGCAGAGAGTGTGTGCCGTAAAGGATCAGACTGCTGATGTCGAACACCACACTACACTGCACGATCTCCACCTGTGCTGAACACACCTGCGGGACACACACCTTACTGAGCGCTGCACACACACACACACAGATATTCCCCAAACATGCAATAGCGCTCACACACACAGATACACACACACACACACACACACCTTAGTGATAACAATACATTGACTTCCATTGATATTATATCAGGCTAAAAAAACAAACACACACACAAACAGCACATAAACAACACACACATAATAACAACCTACACACACACACACACACACACACACACACTCCCAGACATTCACACAATATTTGTGGCCCAAGGGAGGACTAGCTAAATAGCTAAATCAGAACACACACACAAACACAAATACATCAAATCACACACACTTACACACGTCACAAACATGCACACACACATGACAGCAAACAGATGTACATACACACACACACACACACAAAATATACACAGACACACACACACACACACACACAAAATATACACAGACACACACACACACACACACACACACACACACAAAATATACACACACACACACACACACACAAAATATACACAGACACACACACACACACACACAAAATATACACACACACACACACACAAAATATACACAGACACACACACACACACACACACACACACAAAATATACACAGACACACACACACACACACACACACACACAAAATATACACACACACACACACACACACACACACAAAATATACACAGACACACACACACACACACAAAATATACACACACACACACACACAAAATATACACAGACATACACACACACAAAAACACACACACACACACACACACAAAATATACACAGACACACACACACACACACACAAACACACACACACACACACACAAAATACACACACACACACACACACACACACACACACACACAAAATATACACAGACACAAAGAACAAAGACACACACACACACACGCCCCACATGTGACAATCACACACACTTTCCGTATCACAAACAAACATGCACACACAAGGAAACACATACAAGACGCACACACGCACACACACACACACATACATACACAAAGACAAAAACACACACACACACACACATGACAATCACACACTTTACACACATGACAAACATGCACACACATAAGGAAACACACACGACAACAAACAGATGCACACACACAAACATGCCCCAAATGAATATAAACACACGATCACACAAACTTACGCACATCACACACACACACAACACAATCACACACACACACACATACAATCACACACACACACACAAACAAACAAATATACAAACAAACAAACAAACAAACAAACAAACACACACACACACACACACACACAACACAATCACACACACACACACACACACACACACACACAATCAAACAAACAAACAAACACACACAAACACACACACAACACAATCCCACAAACGTACCGTGATCGACCCACCCATGAGCGCAGTGATCACATGACCTGATGTTTCTTCGTCCCGGCAGGAAACGCTCACAGCGACAACCTGAGTGTGTGCAGCTCACAACCTGCAGACACAACACACACACACACACACACACACACACACACACACACACACACACACAAATGAACACAGACACACAAAAAACACACAGACACACAATAATAGTAGTAATTATTATTGAATGAATAATTTGATTGAATTAAAATTACTATCATTACTAATATTTTTGCGGTGTAAATGAATAGACAAAAGTGTCTCTGTATGATCTGTAATCCATTAGTCTTTGAAAGTTTTGATTTTAACCTTTAATTTTCGTCTTTTTTTCTGTTTTGTGTGTGATTTTATTATTATATTAGATCAGTCAGACAGATGTCATTATCAACACGCAATAATAAATAAACATATCCAACATCTGAAGTCACACTGACCCACACAACACAGCTGTTACTACACATGTGCAGAGTGTTACTGACGATGTAATGCTTTAGTGTGTAATGCAGAGAGATGATGATGATGATGATGATGAACTCACACCTCCTTCATCTTCATTGCTGTGTTTTGATCCTCTCGCTTTAGAAGAGACGCATCTCCGTCAGTCTGATAAACACACACACACACACACACACACATATGGATCAATACTCAAGCTGAGATAAATAAATAAATAAATCACAAAGGTCTAAACACGGTCCTTTAGTTTATATATTAACCCTACATGTTAAATTAGGGCTTGGCGATTCATCGAACAGTAATCGAAATCGACATTCAGAACAATAATACCAACAATACCCTACAGCGTGTGGAGTCCCGTGACCCTGCTGTTACTATCGTGTTACTTTGCACTACACTGACGACTGACGAAGCTGCGCCAGAGATGCTTTGAGACGGCATATTTCCCATTACATTAAACATTCATTTTCAGCTTAGTCCCTTTATTAATCCGGGGTCACCACAGCGGAATGAACCGCCAACTTATCCACCATATGTTTTATGCAGCGGATGCCCTTCCAGCTGCAACCCATCACTGGGAAACACCCATACACACTCATTCACACACACACACTCATACACTACAGACAATTTAGCACCCGGAGCAAACCCACGCGAATGCAGAGAGAACATGCAAACTCCACACAGAAACGCCATCTAGCCCAGCCAAGACTCGAACCAGCGACCTTCTTGCTGTGAGGCGACAGTGCTAACCACTAAGCCACCATGTCGCCAATAAAAAGATCATCGGATAAACAAAATTGCAAGTTATTATTTAGTTATTGATGAGGAAAGAGTGACTGCTGGCTTCAGGCAGTGTGTGTTTTAATTTCAGATGTTCAGCGTCGATGTTCAATAAATAATCATAGAAAGAGAAAGAGAGTGTGTCTGTGTAAGAGTGACAGTGTGTGTAAGTGAGATTGCCTTCTATAAAGCGTCTCTAAATGTGTGTGTGGGATACCTGCTGATGGAGTGTGTGTGTCCATGTGCCCATCTCTCTCCTCTTCAGGCTCCTGATGAAGATCTGATCGGCTCTTCAGTGCTGCTGATTATAAAGGGCCCCAAACACCGCCAGACTCCGCCCACCCCTAATAAGAACAGCAGAGCGGCACGTCTGATTGGACGAGAGCTGCCCATTGTCTAAGACAGACAGAGAGAGATCATTAAAACATGTTACAAAGCATCTGAATGCAGTTGTGTGATGTATTTAATTTTAGACGACACATTTAAAACACACTTCATTATATGGTTCTTTCATTCTTGTTAATGTAAAGCACTTGTGAATTAAATGGGCTATAGAAGTACACTTGCCTCGCCTTCCCTAGATTTCCTTCATTCATTTGCTTTCTTTTCAGCTTAGTCTCTTTATTAATCTGGGGTCGCCACAGCAGAATGAACCGCCAACTTATCCAGCACATGTTTTGCACAGTGGATGCCCTTCCAGCTGCAACCCATCACTGGGAAACATCCATACACACTCATCACACACACACACACACACACTCATTCACACGCACGCATGCACGCACGCGCACACACACACACACACACACACACACATACACACTCAAATACCATGGACAAGCTTAACCAATTCCCCTATAGCGCATGTGTTTGGACTGTGAGGGAAACCGGAGCACCCGGAGCACAACTTGCATCTATATGAATTTTAATTGTGTGTGTGTGTGTGGGTTACTTGCTTGTATTTTACTTGTATTTACTTTAAATACATTTATAAAAACATTTCATAATCAATGCTCAAAACAAAGCTCATTTACCTCAACAGACCAACAAAGCTCTTCTATAACTACTATAAGAGATTAAGAGGTAATTAAAAGCCTTGATTTAATCCTCCCTTTTTAACATCATATTCAGGTTTTTGCTCTGTTCTCTACTATACCTCGATCTCTCTTCTGCTGATACAGATGGACATATTTGGCTTTACCAAAACTGATCAGCCGCACTGAGAAAATAAATAAATAAATAAATAAATAAATGATAAATTAAAAACTTTTAAAACATGAAATCGCTAAATATGATTACATCAAAAATCATTTTCTAGACAAGTAAATAAATACAGTACATAGAGAGGCGGAGTACATGTCTATGTATTTACCAAAAAATAAAACGAATCAGCTGCAAAGAAAACTAAAGAAACTTTTAAACGATTTTTAAATATTTAAAAATTATTAAATCAAGAAACATTTCCTAGACAAAAAAAAAAAAATATATATATATATATATATATATATATATATATATATATATATATATATATATATAAATACACACACACGCTCGCACGCACACACGCACAGTTGAAGTCAGAATTATTTGCCCCCGTTTATTATTTTTTTTCCTCAATTTCTGTTTAACTCATCTCTAATCACTGCTTTATTTTCTCTTTGTCATGATGACAGTAAATAATATTAGACTAGATATTCTTCAAGACACTTCTATACAGCTTAAAGTGACATGTAAAGGCTTCACTAGGGTAATTAGGGTAAAGTTAAGGTAATTAGGCAAGTCATTGTATAACAGTGGTTTGTTCTGGAGACTATTGAAAACTAATATCTTAAAGGGGCTGATAATATTGAGCTTAAAATGGTGTAAAACATTAAAAACTGTCTTTATTCTAGCTGAAATAAAAAAATAAGACTTTCTCCAGAAGAAAAAACATTATCAGACATACTGTGAACATTTCCTGAATCTGTTCAACACCATTTGGGAAATATTTAAAAAAGAAAAAAAATTTAAAGGGAGGCAAATAATTTTCACTTCAGCTGTATAAATGTTCTTCTTAATATAAACTTTAGATGCTTTGTCAAAACATTTGTCATGCCAATAAAGCGATTATTAAATTCAACTGAATTGGGGGAGAGAGAGAGAGAGAGAGAGAGAGAGAGAGAATCCTTCTAGCAGCGCAATAGATTAATTAACACACACACACACGCTCACACACGCGCACACACACGCGCACACACGCGCACACACACGCACACGATTATACATGAATCATTGTAAATATACTGATTATTATTGTTTTTATTACTGTTTTATCCTAAAAATGTAGTTTATTCTGATCTATTTTTGTATTGATTTGTATGAATAATTAATGTTGAATAATAATATAATATATTTAATATTAATGTGATATTTTGAATAATATGATGTATTGTTGATATTTTATTTAATTATTATATATAAATATTATCTTTTTTTTTGCTACTACTACTATTTACTGTGTGCACTGTTTTTTTATTATTATATATGTATGCTACTTTTTATGTAAACTTTATAACTGCTTTGGCAATACATTTGTAACAGTTGTCGTGCCAAAAAAGAAATTATTAAATTGAATTGACAGAGAGAGAGAGAGAGAGAGAGAGAGAGAAAGATGAAATAGAGGATGAGACACACTTCCTTCTGTTTTCCCCAAATACACCACGACTAGAGAAATATTTTTCCCCCAATTTGAAACATTGATCGGTTCATTTTTTAATTTAAATGACTCAGAAAAACTTTACCATATACTCGGAGAGGACGAATTGACATTTAGACTAGCTGCAAAATATGTATACACCCTACACACCATGAGAAATGGTTAATATAAATTTGTGTATCTTATTTAAATAATTTAAACTTTTTACTATTATTATTATTATCATTTTTATCAAATGTATTGTTTTTTTGTGTGTGTGTGTCATTATATCTTATCTGTATTACTATTAATTTTTCAATGGTTTTAATATGTTTCCTATTTGAAGTGCTTTGGCAATACTGTACTTAATGTCATGCCAATAAAGCAACTTGAACTTGAACTTGAGAGAGAGAGAGGGAGAGAGAGAGAGAGGGAGAGAGAGAGAGAGAGAGAGAGAGAGAGAGAGAGGGAGAGAGAGAGAGAGAGAGAGAGAGAGAGAGCAGAAAGTGTTAGTAAAGCCCACACCAGCTCTAGGCTAAAGCTGCACAGAAACACAGCAGTTATTAATGTGCTGATCTGCACTTTCAGACTCTCTCCGTGTAGATCAACACACACTTTCCTCGCAGCACTCTCTACAACACTCCTGCCTCTCCTGGAGGACGTCGCACTGATTGTGGGACACTTTTAAATTGAAGCTCAGGTTCCAGATCCACAAAACATTCAGTGGGTAGCACTGTCACCTCACAGAAAGAAGGTCGCTGATTCGAGTCTTAGCTGGGTCAGCGGACGTTTCTGTGTGGAGTTTGCATGTTCTCCCCATGCTGGCGTAGGTTTCCTCCGGTTTCCCCCACAATCCAAACACATGCGCTATAGGGGAACTGATCAACTAAACTGGCCGCAGTGTATGAGTGTGAATGAGTGTGTATGGGTGTTTCCCAGTACTGGGTTGCAGCTGGAAGAACATCGGCTCTGTGAAACATATGCTGGAATAGTTGGTGGATGATTTCCCTGATGAGTAAAGGCACTAATGAATGCATGAATGTAAAATAACTATGTTTGCTGTTGGTTCAAACCACTAATTTAAAAGGAGACAACTCTTGAGTGTGTTTTTTTTTTTGATTGTTTAATTTTTTATTTATTCTTTTATCCTTTACTTCATTTTCCTTCAGTTTAGTGCATTATATATTAGGGGTTGCCACAGTGGAATGAACCACCAACTATTCCAGCATATGTTTTACACAGCGGATGCCCTTCCAGCCACAACAACAACAACACACAGTTTGGACTGTGGGGGAAACTTCTCAAAAGCATCTGCCCTGGCAAAATGAACTCTTTCAAGCTTAAGAGCAGCGAGCATTTCAGTCAGCCATTTATGAAAAGCGGGTGGTAAAGTGGACTTCCGATCTATCAAGATAACCCTTTTAGCCACCACCACATCAGACATAATAGACTTTGCTGATAATGTGACCACGCTAACAGAGGGTCAGAGCATCCTAACAGGACTAATTCAATATCTGGACTAATGTTTTCTCCTTAAACATCTGAATAAAACAAAAATATTTGTCCAAAACTCAGAAATCTCAGGGCAAAAAGAAAAAATAGGAGCATATGTAACCCCACTGGTGCACGCCACCCAACCTGCTACGAGCATCGAACCGGCGACCTTCCGCATGGGAGTCGGTTGCTCTAACAAGGAGGCTAAAGACCATGGCATCTAGCGTATGTCACTAGTGCACCTTTAGAGGTCAGAGGAGTGAGGTTTACCAGCACTAGCTGGCCTCCAATACACTCACCCCCCTAAAACCTCACTCCCATCTGGGTCACGGCACCAATGTAACCCCGCAGGTCCTACGCCACCCAACCAGGGGTCACCAAACATGGTGCCTGCGGGCACCAGGTAGCCCGCGAGGATCACATGTGTTGCCTGCAGGCCTGTTCTAAAAATAGCTCACCATAGCGCCACTTACCAGTAAGCTTCATCTAATATAGAAGTAATCATTTAAAAATGTAATGTAAAAGTGTTGCACATTGATATATTAAATACAGGGTAATTCCTACCCTGTTAAATCATTGTTGATAACTTTTGTGAGAATCATTAACATGATCAGTGTCTTCACATGGATGAATATCATTAATTATTACCAAAAACATGAAGTATGATTAAAAGTAAATTGAGCAAATTTGTTATTTGAGAAGTGTTTATCAAACTGGTAGCCCTCCACATTAATCGGTACCCAAGAAGCAGCTCTCAGTTTCATAAAGGTTGGTGACCCCTGATCTAGACCAGGGGTTCCCAAACTTTTCAGGCCGCGACCCCCAAAATAACAATGCCAGTGACTCTCGACCCCCAATATTCTCTGAGGTGGTTATAAATGCAGAAACCTTGCATGCAATGACGCAGACACACCAATTAAAAACAAAAAGTGCTTAAAATGTGCCAGAAAGTATAACCTGATGTTATAAAATCAAAATGCATCTGACGCTATTGCTGCCTTTAATATAATGTAATTACCCCAGGGGTCGCAATCCAATAGAACTAGTAACTATAAGCTACTATAGTAACTATATAGTAACTATAAACGACTATTTTTATTTTCAGTGTAGTTATGGATAAAATATGGTAATTCTTATGGTTTAATAAAAATAAATAGATTTTTGGAAATCACCAGGCGACCCCCCTTCATTGCCCCGCGACCCCTCGGGGGGTCCCGACCCCCACTTTGAGAACGACTGATCTAGACTTATGTTTTCTCCCTAAACATCTGAATAAAACTCAAAAATATTTGTCCAAAACTCAGAGATCTCAGGGCAAAACCAAAAAGTATGAGCATACATTCCCTCTGAGATCTTGCATCTGTCACATAAGGGGGAAACTGAAGGGAGAACTGCAGTTCTAATTGGATTTGCAATGTAAACCTTAAACACATTTGATTTATTTTAATAATCCTTCCACATAAATCTGCTGATTATTTCTTTACAAAATTGTGTGCATAATTACCAAAGCAGATTCAGTCCGGCTCTGAAAACGCCCAACACTGATCTAGATGCAGCCGTTCCTGAGTGAATCCTGCAAAACAAGACCAAACAAACAAAAAACTGCTCCAGGATCAGAATATTCGAGTCCTGAGAGACAAACCTGCGGCATCAATCCCCGAAACGCCCCGGAATCAGGCCTTTGGCAGCGGAAATGCCTGAACGAAACACCTAGAAACACAGGCATGAATAGATAATGAGGGGAACGGTGTGTGTTAATGAGAACCTGATGGGACGCTGGTTGTGAATTCATGAAGACTGTGGTGTTTAACGTGACTGGGGATCATCAAAGCTCTCGTTAGCGTCTCCGCTACGCTACCTGCTAGCCAATGGAGGACTCAGGTGACCCTGCCAAAACACACACACACACACACCCATGAGGAAGCTGGAGGAGGAGAGGAACCTACTTTAATCCACTTTCCCTCTGATGCCACTTTCCCTGTCCCACATTGAGAGTGTGATCAGACCCGCGCGTCTCTTTGTGCTCGATCCAAGTTGGCAGATTGGCGATATAAAGGGGGACAAACACACAAGACGAAGAGAGAAAATCAGCGCACAAGACTGACTGATGATCTTTGTCATAATTAAAACTTGAATCCCTTTCAGAAGTTCCCCGACGCCACTGGAGGAAATAACACTGCGGGCTGAGTTTCCCAAATTGTGAAATTCATGAAAACCCACTGTACAACCAATCTTGATGTATGGTCAAATTACCAATAGAAGTTCGTAAAAACAATCATAGACAGATCTTAATATTAAAGTCTGATTACCAAAATGATAGATAGCCAAAGAAGTTCATAAAACAACTGTACGACTGATCCTAATGTTACGAACCGATTCCCAATATCATTATAATCTGATCTAGATTTTTCAGTCTGATCACCAAAATTATTGTAAGCCTTTAAACAATTATATGATTGATTTTAATATTATGGTCTGATTTCTGAAATTCTCGTAAACCTAAAAAAATTGTTGAACAAGCATTCGATTAATCTTAATATTACAATCTGATTTTCAATAGCATCATACGCCTACAAAGCTCGTGAAAAAAATCATTCAACTGATTTTAATGTTACAGTCTGATTCCCAAAATTATCGTAACCCTAAGAATTCGTAAAACAAATTCACGATGGATCTTAAAATTACGATCTGATTCTTAATAGCGTCATAAGCCAACAAAGTTCGTAAAACAATCATATGACTAATGTTAATATTACAGTCTGATTACTAAAATTATCGTTAGCCTAAAAAGATTATAAAAACAATCATATGACTGATCTTAACGTTCCAGTCTGATTTCCACAAGAATCATGAACCAACAAAGTTCGTATTAATAATCCGTGCAACTGATCCTAATGTTACAATCTGATTTCCAAAATTATCGTAAGCCTAAGAATTTTGTAAAAACAATCGTACGATTGATCTTAGTATTACAGTCTGATTTCCAAAAGAATCGTAAGCCAAGGAAGTTCGTAAAACAATCATACAACTGATTTTAATATTATAGTCTGATTTCCAAAATTATTGTAAGCCTCAGAAGTTCGTAAAACAATCGTATGACTGATCTTAATGTTTCAGTCTGATTTCCAAAATTATTGTAAGCCTATTACATTAGTAAAATTGATGGCATGGCTGATCTTAATGTTACAATCTGATCCCCAATAGCATTTATTATAGCCAACAAAGTTTGTAAAAACAATTGTATGATTGATCTTAATGTGGTGGTCTGATTACTAAAAGCATCGTAAACTTAAACATTTCTTAAAACAACGCTTAATTACATGACTGATCTTAATATTACGATCTGATTAACAATATCATTGTAAGCCGAAAAGGTTTGTAAAAACAATCAAACGACTGATCTTAATATTGCAGTCTGATTTCCAAAAATATCGTAAGCCTATTACATTCGTAAAATTGATTGTCTGACTGATCTTAATGTTAAGATCTGATCCCCAATAGCATTTATTAAAGCCAACTAAGCTCGTAAAAACAATCTTATGATTGATCTTAATTTTATGGTCGGATTCCTGAAAGCATCGTAAGGCTAAACATTTATTAAAACAACAATATTCGATTATATGACTGATCTTAATATTGCGGTCTGATTACCAATAGCATCGTAAGCCTAAAAAGTTCGTAAAACAATCATATGACTAATGTTAATATTACAGTCTGATTACTAAAATTATCGTTAGCCTAAAAAGATTATAAAAACAATCATATGACTGATCTTATCGTTACAGTCTGATTTCCGAACTTATTATAAGCCTAATAAGTTCTTAACATTTACTATATGACTGATTTAAATGTTAAAGTCTGACTTCCAAAATATTGTAAGTCTAAAAAGTTCATAAAAACAATTATACCACTGATCCTAATGTTTCGGTCAGATTTCCAAAATCATCGTAAGCCTAAGAAGTTTGTAAAACAATCATACGATTGTTCTCAATATTATGGTCTGATTTCCAAAATTATCCTCAGAAGTTTGTAAAAACAAGCATTGGACTGATCATAATCTATCAGTCTGATTTCTAAAATTATTGTATATGTAATATTGTAATTATTGTAATAAAGAAGTTCGGAAAACAATCATACAACTGATTTTACTATTACGGCCTGACTACCAATATCATTGTAAGCCTAAAAAGTTTGTAAAAACAACCGTACGACTGACCCTAATGTTTCAGTCTGATTTCTGAAATTATCGTAAGCCAATTAAATTGGTAAAATTGATAATATGACTGATCTTAATGTTACAGTCTGATACCCAAAAGCATCGCAAGGCTAAGAATTCATAAAAAAACATATGACTGACATTACGATCCACTTCTTAATAGCGTCATAAGCCAACAAAGGTCATAAAAACAATCGTACGACTGATAGTAATGTATCCGTCTGATTTCCTAAATTACTGAAAGTATAAGAAGATCGAAAAACAATCATGCGACTGATTTTAATATTATGGCATAATTCCCAATAGCATCATAAGCCAACAAAGTTCGTAAAAGCAATTGTACGACTGGTCTAAATGTTTTAGTCTGATTACCAAAATGTTTGTATGCCTATAAGTTTGTAAAATGTACTGTATGACTGATACAATCGTAATACTTATCTTAACATTACAGTCTGATTTCCAAAATTATCGTAAGCCTAAAAGCATTGGCCCACTTACAGTGAGCACAATAACGATAACAGTAAAGATCATGAAATAAACATCTTTCTAAAAATTGTTTTGAATGTAAAACCATGGCAGAGTTCAGACCACAGCTGTAATGATAAAGATGAAGAGAAACGAAGCTAATAAACAAAACACTGACAGTGTGTCTTTCTTTGTGCTCGATCCAAGTTGGCAGATTGGCGATATAAAGGGGGACAAACACACAAGTCGAAGAGAGAAAATCAGCGCACAAGACTGACTGATGATCTTTGTCATAATTAAAACTTGAATCCCTTTCAGAAGTTCCCCAACGCCACTGGAGGAAATAACACTGCGGGCTGAGTATTGTGCATCGTAAAGTTGAGAAGTGTAAAAATGTGATTGTGCCACTGAGCTTAATATTACAGTCTGATTCCCAACAGCACCATGAGCCAACAAAGTTTGTAAAAAATAAATAAATAATAAAAAATAAATAAATACAATTGCTGTGATTTTTCCAAACCCCTCATATGCATAGTGCAAATATACAGTGATTTGGTCTGGTGACCAAGTGTGCTGTGATCAGTCTGATGACCCGGTGTGTAGTGATTGATTCATTTACACAGTGTGTTGTAATTGGTCCATTTACCCAGTGTGTTGTGATTGGTCCATTTACCCAGTGTGTTGTGATTGGTCCACTAACCCAGTGTGTTGTGATTGGTCCATTTACCCAGTGTGTTGTGATCGGTCAATTTACCCAGTGTGTTGTGATTGGTCCACTCACCCAGTGTGTTGTGATTGGTCCATTTACCCAGTGTGTTGTGATTGGTCCACTTACCCAGTGTGTTGTGATTGGTCCATTTACCCAGTGTGTTGTGATCGGTCCATTTACCCAGTGTGTTGTGATCGGTCCATTTACCTAGTGTTTGTTGATTGATCTCATTATCTACTGTGTTGTGATTGGTCCAGTGACCCAGTGTGCTGTAATTGGTCGATTTACCCAGTGTGTTGTGATTGGTCTGGTGACCCAGTGTGTTGTGATCGGTCCATTAACCCAGTGTGTTGTGATTGGTCCACTAACCCAGTGTGTTGTGATTGGTCCATTTACCCAGTGTGTTGTGATTGGTCCACTAACCCAGTGTGTTGTGATTGGTCCATTTACCCAGTGTGTTGTGATTGGTCCACTAACCCAGTGTGTTGTGATTGGTCCATTTACCCAGTGTGTTGTGATTGGTCCACTAACCCAGTGTGTTGTGATTGGTCCATTTACCCAGTGTGTTGTGATTGGTCCATTTACCCAGTGTGTTGTGATCGGTCCATTTACCCAGTGTGTTGTGATTGGTCTGGTGACCCAGTGTGTTGTGATTTGTCCATTTACCCAGTGTGTTGTGATTGATCACATTACCCAGTCTGTTTTGATTGGTTCGGTGACCCAGCATGTTGTGATTGGTCCAGTGACCCAGTGTGTTGTGATTCACCACATTACCCAGTGTGTTTTCACTGATCACATTACCCAGTGTGTTGCTATTCTTCACATTACCCAGTGTGTTGTGATTTGTCCATTTACCCAGTGTGTTGTGATTCGTCACATTACCCAGTGTGTTGTGATTGGTTCAGTGACCCAGTGAGTTGTCATTGGTCCAATTTACCCAGTGTGTTTTCACTGATCACATTACCCAGTGTGTTTTCACTGATCACATTACAAAGTGTGTTGTGATTGGTTCAGTGACCCAGTGAGTTGTCATTGGTCCATTTATCCATTGTGTTGTGATTGATCACATTACCCAGTCTGCTATGATTGGTCTGATGACAGTCTGCAGTGACTGATTTAACAAGGCGGGCACTCCGCTAATGTTTTATGCTTAAGTGGGTAGGCAATTGTGTGTGTGTGTGTGTGTGTGTGTGTGTGTGTGTGTGTGAATGAATGGAGATGCATGTTTAATGTTGTCTTTGTGCTTTAGTATTAGTGCATCTTTTGGACGTTTTTCAGATTTCTGCCAGTTTTGTTGGTTTTATTTGCCAATGTCTATAAAATGCTCTGTTGCAGTCACACACGTGTGTTTGTGTGCGCAAAAGATAGAACGTTTGTCCCAGTTTGCATTAGTGCACTAGATTGAGGTGTTTTTAATAATGTAAAACATTCATTTATATTTCTTTTACTTGGTTTACTACTTTTTTTTGGACTAATGTGGGGTCAATCTGACTTCAAGGACTTTTATTTACACACCCAATTAATTCCAGTGTGTTTTAGCTAGATTATTTAGGAAAAGGCACAGAATTTCATGCCCCTGACATTAAGGGAACATATTTTTTTCAAAAATAAAGGAAACTTTTTCAAGTGACACTGACACATTTTTATAACTTAACAGAAACATTAGCATAACGTCAGCTTGGTAAACATGCTGACAGACACTTTTACCAAGTCTGCCCACCAGAATTAAAAGCCACTCAGAAAGCAACATGTTTAACACAATCATTTAAGCTCGAAGATCTTTAAATGACAAAAGCAGCCAGTGGACAGCATCCGCCATAAACTGACACTTCGCCCTGCAGTTAATCAGACTGAGCTAATTAGCAAGCGCTCATGTACTCAGGATGACTGAAGGAAAAGTGTCGCTGCAGCAGAAACGGCCGGCA